ATTGTAAAAGTGGTGCTTTATAAAATAAAATTGTATTATTCATTACGTACTTACAATTTTACCATGGTAATCAAATCGTTTTGCAAAGATAATAGCAATTGAAGGATTAAGTTGATAAAAATTTATTAATTATGAAATGTACGAGTACTTTACGCTTGATATTCTTTATAGTGCTGAAACGATAAGTCTTTGATTTTTTAATTTTTTTAATAATAATATTTTAATTTTAATTAAATTCACCCGTATCTGTGGGTAAAAATACCTTTATTTTTATTTATAAAAATTTAATATTCATTAACTTTAACTTATAATGAGTTGGTTTTTGACTTCAAAGTCTTTAACTCAAATATAATATTTTTCTGTATTTAAAAAAATATTTATTTTATGACATTATGTAGGGTTTAAAAGAATAATAAGTGAAAAATGATTAATACTTTATACCATTTAAATATTACTATATATATATTACTATATATATATTGCAATATATATATTACTATATATATATTACTATATAACTATATATATTTCTTGTGATTTAATGTGATATAAGGCCTGATTCATAATCGAAGTTCCGTCTATGTTTGGTGAATGATGAGAAACGTACAAGTATATGTGGTCTGGAGTTATTGTATTGGGTAAAAAACATACTTTCTTTGCTTCATTTGTGTTTAGGCCTATAATGGTTTTAAATAGCTCTTATAATGAAACTTTTTTTTTTTGGAAAATGTAAATCGTCGTCATTCTTTTTTGTTTCCTACGGCATCATGGAATAAATAGTGTATTTCATAAAAGTTTATTGATTATAAGTATCTTTTTTTACAGTTTATAAATACTATATCTTTATATATCTAATCAATTCGATGACTAATAATCATATAAATTATAATCATCAAAAATAGTAGAGAATAGCTACTCAAAAATTATGTGATCATTGTATTTATTATGTTAACTAAAACGATCAGAAATGTGTACATGATGCGAATATTCTTACAAAGAACTAATACTTAGTTCTTTAAAAATATTTTTTAATAAATTTTTTTTAATCGTAAATACAAAATTTTCAGATATTCATATAGACTTTTCCAACACAGGTAGCAATCCCTCACAAATTAATTTTAATATATACAAATTTTAAGATTTTCCATAAGCTTTACTGCAGTAGATTAAGTTTAATTTTAATACTTAATTTAAATAATATCTTTTTGCTTTATTACTATTTTAACAGTAATCGAATCGGATATAAGAATTAAATTAACAAGATACAATATGCAAACAAATATATCCATATCCGTTTCGTATCGACCAAGTGGGATTTGATACTGTCAACCTATATTACACAGAGAACATATGTATACATTACTTGCTTACATATACATTATATATGTATGCGTATGTATGTATAATAAGTATATGTCTTGATGTGCGAATATTTCACAATTCATTCATGCATGTGCTCCTTCGGAAACTGTTACGGATTACACGTTTTCGGAATTATACGGTCAATTGGACCGCATACGTACGTAACACATATACAATGATAAAAACAGCAAGGATTAAATCGGTCAAGAAATAATTTTTCATTTTATTTGCCATATTCATTCATGACTATTACCATGCAAAAATAGTTTTGAAATGATTTTTGCAAGTAAAGGATGAAATTGAATAAAGTATCAATTGATGAAGAAAGTCAGGTATACAATGAAAATTAAGTAAGAAAAAAGAACTAAAAAGTACTTATACATCTTTTTTTGCTTTCCTCTTTTTTATAACTATAAATGGATTTTTCATTCCATATATCCTTTTTCTTTTTTATTCTTTTTTTTATTTTTAATTTTATCCCTTTTTGTGTGCTCCAAAAAACTTTCATTGTCAACATTATATTTTCTTTATAGGAGAATCAACTGCAGCAATGATTTCATTATTCTCATACATTTTGCTAGTGGTTGCAGCTGAAGTAGTTTTCCGCTGATAATAACAGATTTTGTTCTAGATTTTTTGCCAGACTTACCAATAATGCATAATGCAACATCTAACAACAGTTGCAGCAGTAATCTACTACAAACATTGGCGTGTTGTGTTGTTCCTTGTTTTTTTTTTTTTTTCATTTTTTGCAATATTTCCTTTTTCTGGTTTATTATTTTTATTCTAGTTTTTTATTTCATTGCATTGTTCTATTTTTGCTTAGTCCGCAATCATTTCCCTTTTTAACCACGCTAGTTTGTTGCCATATCTTCCCACTGCTTGATTTTCCGCCTGCTGTTAAAAGCAGCTTAGTATCCTTGAGGTGTGCATGCTTCAAACAAATCCCATCCACAATATGCGCTACATTTTTGAGTGAACATATGTGGTTTTATACTTTCTTATAAAATATTATTATATTATAATAATATAATAATAATAAATATTGTTATTGAAAAAATAATTATAATGCATGCAATATATTATATTAAAATAAGATCTATATTATATTAACACAAAGTTATAATATAGTTAATAATATTCTTAATATAATCTTATGATTGCTATATTAGATATCGCATTCGAATGAACCACAAAAATCTTTAATCTTTGTCGAAACCTTTAATCCAATTTTATAACCTTTTCTTCGTGCCAGTTTCCTCTTTGATGAGTTTAGCAGACACAGAGGTTGCTTCGCTGAATTTTGTCAACTTTCTCAATATGTTGTGCATTGCGACTAGTTTTTGACGACTATACTTGATCGTCGTCTTCAATATACCCAAAACCGGTTAAAAATAGGCGAAACCAAAAGAAAATCAATTCCCATACTCATATTTATAGTCTACTTACTACAATTTTGCATAATTTTTACTCAATTTAAAATAAAATATAATATTGGTCCTTTTTTGTATGTGTTTATTTTAGACCTGTGCTACGGTAACATTATATAAAATGTGAAGGCATAGTAAAACTTCATAAAATTTTTATGGAATTAGTTTTCTCCAATCTGTGACAAACTGTTGATAATTACAAAATTATATTGCATATAATATTTTCAACTGAAAAATTTACTTACTTACTTAAATAGTCATAATAAGCCGTTAGCAAGATTAGACCTGACGTAGCCTGTCTCTTCAGGCGCCCCTGGTGTATGCGTTCATTTTTCAGTCTCTTAGAACAATTGCTGTCAGTGTTCTCTTAACTTGAACACTTCATCTAAAACAGGGTCTACCTCTATGTTTTCTTTTTCTAATACAGTTTTAAATATTTATTTCGGTTAAGCATCTTTATCTATTCTCATGACAGAGTCCAGACCAAACATCCAGTAGATATTAATTCGCTATGAAGTTAACGGTAATGCCTATTAAATATCTTAATGTCGTGATAAAGCTGTTATAGCTTGTGGTTCATTCGGATGCAGTAGTCGTCGTCAACTCGTAGTAGACAAAAGATCTTACTTTAAACTTTTCTCTTGATTACCTACTAATAATAGTTCTATTAATAAATTAACAATAGTAAAAAATAAAGAAAAGAATTACTTCATTATTCTGGTACAAATCAAGTTTTTGAAAAACAGTATATCTTAATATAATTCCTTTTTCTAATGTTTTGTTTATTCTTTTTTCAAGTGGGTTTCTGAGATGCAGGTATTTTTGACACAAGAAATGTGTGCAACACCTTATAGTTGGTTGGTATGGTTGGTTAATAATTCGTTTTTTTAATAGCATTACTTTTATAGTCTACTCAACTGACATAAATTTTTTTATATCTCCATTATATAATATACTTTACTTGCTTTGGTTAGTAACATATTTTTTCTTTATATTTATTACACCAATTACATTGTTGTGCTATCATTACTTCGAGATACAGGGATTAATTTTAATAATAAGAGTATTTCCTGTGATAGTATGAAATCGATTTGATAATGGAAATAAACTGCTTAGTTATTGAAAAATGCCAACATTACTTATCCTTACTCAGATTAAATTTATAAATTTTACGAAATTTACTTTTGGTAACCTAACATGCCTTTGTTAGTACAAATAGTTATATTAAAAAACAATTTTAAAGCCATGAACAAACCAAGAAGTTGAAACTAAAATTAAAATATTCATTGAACCCATATAAATTTTTCTAAAATGAAATTCAGAATTGAACCAATCTAAAAAATAAAAAGGAATTAATTTGAATTTGAATGTGAATAAAATGTGCATTTTGATGAGTGCATAATGCAGTCATAAAATTCACACCTAAATTCATAAGAGCAGCGTAGGGCAAAGGTTTATCGCTACTGTTATGCAATGTTGAGGAAAAGAATGTCATTTGCTGGTAACCGCAAATTCATGGAATTCAGTGACATATCGCAAATGTGCACAAGTTAGCAATCAATGTGACAGTCAAAATGTCTAGAATTGTTATTGCATAGAGGAAATCCACAAACCGACGAACTTCGACATTATAAGAGAATTTGCCGTTTTTTTTGTTCTTTAGGATCCAAGTTCTCCAATTGGAAATTCACTACAGGCAGTGTACCAATACCAATACCGAGTCAGTAAGGAAACAGGCCTTGTGAATACAAATTCTATCAATTTTTTTCTCATTTAATATAATCTGAATATTGAATTTTAAAAATTTATTTTCACCTTAAAAAATTCTTTTCTATTTTATTTTATTTTAAAATTTACTACTATTGCAATGGTTGAGAAAAAAATAGTTGCATTTTTGCTGTAAAATTTATTGCAGCATTTGCATAAAATGAAATTGTTTAAATGCAACGAAATACTCGCATTTTGGTTCCACAGAGCCAATTTTCATTTAGAGAAATAAGCGCCACATAATTGGTTGAATTTTTTATAATTTTAAACGTTTTAGCAGTTACCACAATTTATCCAAATGGTTCCAGTTGAAATTTCAGAAATATACATTATTTTATTGCTTTACTTTACCAAAAAAGAAAAAAATAAATTATTTAATTACAATTCTTTAACAAAAATAAATAAATAATATAATAACATTTTCTATTTTTATAATTTTACAGGCGAAACGCATACAGAGCAACGAATTAGCTGCCATAAAACTCATCAAATTAGAACCCACCGATGACATACAGATTATCGAACAGGAAATCATAATGATGCGGGATTGTCGGCATCCAAATATAATTGCCTACTATGGTTCTTACTTAAGGCGAGATCAACTGTGGATTTGTATGGAATATTGTGGTGGAGGCAGTTTACAGGATATTTATCAAGTGACTGGTCCCTTGACTGAACAACAAATCGCCTATATGTGCCGTGAAACGTTGAAAGGACTTGAGTACTTGCATTCTAGGGGTAAAATGCATCGTGATATTAAGGGCGCAAATATATTATTAACTGAAAATGGTGATGTCAAATTGGCCGACTTCGGTGTGTCAGCACAAATAACAGCAACAATTAATAAACGCAAAAGTTTTATTGGTAAGTTGAAAAGAAATAAAATAGATATTAAACTTTTGGATATAATATAGGAATTATTAAATCTAATTAAAAAAAAATTAAAATAATCAATATTATAAAAAATTGTATTACCTCCATTATTTTATTTGTTGTACACTCTGCATATGTAACATACTCGTATTACTCCGTTGACTGAATTCCTATCTAGCTAACCAACTAAGCTCTTTCCATTTAATCTTGTAAGCTGTCAATGCCTAACTTCTGTTATACGTTTGTTATATCAGTAATAATTAATTTATTAGTCTAGTTTTCTATTCTAATAAAAATTTCTAATAGTGTTTTTTTTAGGACCACTGCTTACAATGATGCACAAATTGATGGTTTATTTACCATATTAAGTGCTATCCAATTCAGGTCAAACATGTGCCGTTTTGTTCAATAAGTTGTTGCCATTTTGAAAATAATTTCAAATCCATAGAAATCATAGAAATCCTCGTCCCGATTAGCAAAAAATTGAGACAGTAGATTTTTACAAGCCTGTCTTGAAGCAAATTTTTTACCAGTAAAATTATTTGCCATGTACAGAAACAGTTAATAATTACTTGGCGCTTGGTGTGGACTATGAAGATGGTTGCATAAAAACTTCTCAACCAAGCTCACGGAGCTTTTGGCGAGTCATTAGCGATGTGGGTGGCCTGGCATCGTTCTGATGGAAAACACTTTCTCTCCTATTGCCCAAAACTGACCATTTCTGAACGATGCTTTCTTCAGACGATCTAATTGTAGAATTAGACAGTACAGTTTCGAGTTAAGAGTTTTGCAGATGATTCCCTGCCAATCACACCAAAGACACAGTAAACCTTACTGGCCATCAATTCTGGCATGGCTATTGTTTCAGCCGGCTTACCGCAATTTGACCACGACCGTTGTTGCTTGACATTGTCGTAATTGATCAGTCACCACCATTCATCACCAGTCATCAACTGCTTTAGTAATGACGGTTGCAGCAGCGTTAACTCGTGTGGGATCCATACATTAAGTTTTTTTGATTTGAAATGTAATTTTTCTAACTCGATCGGACTTATATTACGGACTTATATACTAACTAAAGTTATCTATTGGGAAAATAATGGATTTCTTCTTACTACACCTAATATATTTTAGATTATATATAACATAATTATACAAAAGAATGGTATTGAAATTTAAAAATTAAAATTAAAAATAAAAATATAATTAATTAATTCAATTATTCTACAGCTAGTTTATGAATTCTTTCTAATATATAACACAGCAATTGAATTTTTATTAAGCTTTCACAGCAAATTAACAAAACTCCAGAAAAAAGTGCGAACATACAAATTAAGTACGGTTTTGAACGCTGACTCTGAGCTTCAAATTTAGCAGGGCATGAATACAATCCCTGATACTTGCAGTCTCAAAAAAATTATTAACGAGTAATTAAATACAAGAAATAATTCCACTGACTACAAGACCACTGATGATTCAATTAAATAAAATAATACAAAAATAATTTTTGTTGTTGTTGTTCACTACTGTTGGAAATCTCTTCATAATTATGTTTTCTAAAAACTTATTTAAAATGCTTTTCAGCAATATCCTTTTATTTTATTGTTGTTTTTCCTCTTATTATAAGTAGTGTTTTAAACTACTCAAACAATTATTTCAGTTATTATCATATCCTTTATTTATGAAGCATTTTAATTAGTTGCTAAATTGTCTATTTCAAAAACCAAAATAATTCAAATTAATTTAAAAGATAATCTTGTAAATAGCATCTTCAATCAATTTTCTTCAAAACTAATTATCACTAAGTACACATTCTCAAAATACATACCTAAAATCTTACTTATGTATTCCTTTCGCTGAGGAAGCTTGCTGAAGTATTTTTTATGCAAAATTTAATAAGCAAAAATAATCCTTTTTCGTTGAAATTTTTTTATATTTCTCAAGAGCCACTTATGAAAAATATCTAAGAAATGAACTCAAGCGTAAGCCGTTTATGAAATTATTCAACAAATTTCACAAGTTGCGTTGATGATGTTGATTTATTCTCTCAAATTTTTTCACAATAAAAATAAGTCTACCGTAAAGGAGACAGGATGCAGGAGACTTCCACAAATACTATTATTTTCTTGAATTTGTTTTGAAAATCTTATATTAAAATTGTTTCATATTTTCATTAAAATTTCTTCTATCGAAAAATGCCACAAATTGCAGGATTAGAGGAAAAGAAACTTTAATTTAAATATTTTCTAACAATTTTCTATAAATAAATTTTTTTATTGTCAATTTTCTTTTCTTTGCTTGCTTGTGCCTTGAAACAATGGCGCGGCTTGTACATAGTATAATATAGTTTTTGTAGTGTGAAAATTAGTAAAAAAAAAGGTATGTAAAAAATGAAAAATAACCTCATTTCGTCGAGATTTTTTCGAGCAGAAGAAGATCCACGGAAAAATGTGTAGGTAATAAAAAAAGATTTAACCAAAAGAAGCTTTAAGGCAGGAAAGACAAAGAAAATCCACAGAGTATTTTTGCTCCTGCAAAAGTTTAAATCCTGTTCTGTTCGGCGGTTATTGGCATGACTTGAGCTTCAGCAACAAATGCATTCCTTTCAACATTTCTAGTAGGTAATGAGAAAGGAGTAAGGTTATGGTTGGTGGTTGGTTGTGTATTATTTACTTACTAACTACTATACGGCGAAGAAAGTGCCATTCGAAATTATTTGTTCATTGTGTTTGTGGAAAAATACAATAAACCTAGAGAAAAGTGGCACAAATAGAGAAGGAAGAAATTGGTTATAAAAAAATTTGAAGTGTATATAACAGGAGCAAAATAGTATGAAAATGGAGCTGCCGGTAATGCCTGTTTGTACTCGTGTTTGGTGTTGCCACATGTATTGATGTTGCTGATGTTGCTGTTGGTGTTGACGTTCGTGATGTGTTTCTGTACTTAAGTGAATACAAACAATAGCCACTTTTTAGTCTAGTACATTTTCAACACAATTTTTCTTCAGAATATATTTTCTTTTATTCTGAAAATTGAGTGGAGTGGTACTTGCCACGTTTTATTCACTTAAGACCATTGCATTTAACTACATTTCTATTAGTATTACTGCAGCTTAAATTAGTAAAGTTTTAAAATAATAAAACTTTAATTTTGGCTCTAGTTTTGTAGTAAAAAGATTTTAATTTTAGAGATGTCAGTTAGTACTCATAGTAAATAGTTACTTCTTCTAAGTAAATAATTATTTTTAACAGTTGTTTTTTATCTACGTCAATATAAAGTTAAGCTTAGAGATTTCAATGAAACGGTTTATGATTAAATATAAATAAAAAATAAATTATTTGTAAATATAAATATTTATATATATTATTGTTTTTTTTTTTCAATTAAACATATATATTTGAGAGTTATGATGACAGTGAACAATTTGTTAGTGCAGACAAAATTGATCTTTTAAATAAATTTTAAATTATTCATGTTTATTTGGGAGCTAAAGTGGCGATACAAAATTTGATGATAGTACAGGGGTGTGTATTATTATTGTTAGGGAATGTGACAGTGCGATCGTGGGGTCTGTTGTGCTCCTTCTGTGTTTAGAGTAGGTCTCTAAGCCCTGTTGCATCAATAAAAAGTAGTATAGAATCTATTTTACAGAGTTTTATTGTCTCTTCCATAAAAATATACATTTCCAGGAGGTTGTTTCATATGTGTCTTAGTGCAGGGGTTTGTAAGTTGTTTGAATAATGGAAAGCTGCTATATGTGGTGCTGTCCAAGTTCATTTTATCCAAGCAGCGTTTCTGATCTAAGCATTCTGCCTACATCAAAGATGGTAAAATTATGGCACTTTTTTTTTTTGTAAAAGATTTTATTTGAACCGAAATTTCGACTATATTCTATAGTTTTCATTAGGGTACTATATAATGTTAATATAATGCAACAATATTGTGTAGTGTATATCACAAATAAATAATTAAACAATATATCAACATTAAAACATGAACTACATAATTTAATTAATTAAATATGTTACAAAACAATAAATTAATATTAATAACAACAATAAATTATAAAAAACGGTTTATCTAGTTAGTTATAACGTCCATTAAATTATGAAAAATAAGATGAATACTTTTAAAAAAAATTTCCATAAAAAATTGAAGAATATATACCTACTAATATTGTGTTCCGGCACAAATAGATCTTATTTCGTTTTTTCTTCGATTTTTGTAATTCAATCTCTTGCATTAATCAATTACTTAAAACTTATTGAAAAATTATCAATATCTGAGAGAAAGGTTAATGAACTGCTATAAAGAAAATACTATCTTTTTTATATATTTTCTATTTAATCTAATCAAATGGTTAGAAATGTAATTAATTTAATAATTCATAAACGACCTATTTTTTTATAGATTGTTTATATTTATTTTTTGGTATTATACTTTGTGAAGCTTTTTTCTGGTTATTTTTAAAGGTGTTGAATCGTAATTGTTTTTTAAAAATAGTAAAAATGAGAATTTTAAAATTAGAGGTAAAAATTTTTGAATTATTAGTTAAATACTATAACTTTTAAAATGAAAAGTTAAATAATATTGTAATTGCTGTACTTTTTAGATTGTTCTTTATATTTCTAAAACAAATTTGTTTACTGTAAATTTTAAATAATTTTCTTACTTCCTCCAAGAGTACTTCTTCAGCAAAAGTACGTATATTAATAACCTATTTCTGGTTAAAAATTATCTTGTGTATATATGTCAAACACTTATAAATATAAACACTATTGTTATCAATAGTACTTACCGTAAGGATCTCTTTCTTGAATTTAAATATAAAATCAACTTATTAAATAAATATTTCAGGAAATTATTTGGTAGTGTATTTTTGTGATTAATAATTTAAAATATACATATATGCTGAGGTCGTCTTTTACAGTTTTGTATACAAAAAATGTCTATTTTCTTATATTTTTGTTATGTGTCCATGCCCGATATGAAATTTAGTCATAATAAATGTTCTCATTCAGTTCATTGTGGTTGCAACACATGTTAGAATTGTGAAAATATGGATGTAAGTATGCAAATAAATATAGAACAAGTTTGTACACAAAAATGCAGAAATTATGCAATTTTCTACATTGTTTAAAAATAAACAACATAAAAAATAATACGAAATATTTACAAACCAAGAAATAAAATTTTTTTTACTAAAAGAATTCAAAATATTTATGCAAACAAAAGTGTCAAAAAATCTCTTATGCATGAGTTCAAAACAAAGTAAATAAAATGGAGTAGAAATTATAGAGGGTGGGACTGGGATTGGAACTGAGATATAAATTTGATTCTTAATATGTAAATATGCAAATATTCATTCAAAATAAAAATATATATAATAAAACTTTTATTTTCTTTCTCTTGCAAAAACTTAACAAAGAAAAATTTCACTTTAAATAAATTTAATTTTTTTCAAAAGGTATTGATTTTAAAAATTAAGAGTCTAAATAATTGCTAAAACATCTTAGATTAGTATTAGTAAAGTACCGAAATTAAACATTTATGGCCAACCACTTTTAAATTTATGTTTACAAAAAGTATAGACTATTAAATAACATTAAAGAAATTTTCAAATTCAGAAATTTGTGCGATATTTCGATTTTTTGAATCTAATTTTAGTTAGTTTAGTATC